ATTTGGCGGTTCTACGTACTCAGTCATAATAGAAACGACAGGCCCGTTTTGACACCCGGTATAGGACACGAGATGTCCAAAACCGATCGCATTTAAGACACCCGGGGCACTGGTTTAGGACAAAAGAGTGTCTTAAACCCGGCTTCGCTGTAAACGATGTCTTCAACTGTAAATCTTATACCAACCAAGTGTCTTCAATCGACATACGTATAATCATGCCGCTTGCAAGGTCCTGTGAATGCGTATGTCTGATATTTGTCAATCGTTAAACGGCTTGGAACTGGCCATTCAAAGTTACAGCGTGTTCGACAGCGGCCCAGCGACAGCGGCTCAGCGACAGCGCTGGGTGCGACAGAGCGGCAAGGACAGAACCCGTGCCGCTGCACGTGGCATCTCTTCGATGCCACGAGCTATGTGGGACCAACGTTTGCTAAGCCAGCTTCATCAACGGGGCCTGTCTACAATTTGTGGTCCCGGATTGCCCAACGGATAGTTCGTTCGACAATCTGCACTCGTATCTTTGGCTGCCGTCAAAATCATCAATTGGGGAAAGATCCGCCTGAGCGCGATCTCGTCGGTCTGCATTTAGAATTGCCTCTTCAGTTTAAGGTCTCCTTCCCGTAGTACAGCGGAAAGTATGCTTGTGTTTCTCCGTGGCCGTGACTAGGCATCAACTGGTGCCCCAGGTGCGCCATGATCTCTTGTAGTAAGGTGCCTGCGGTGAGCCCGACGTCTCTACTCATTCGTTTTATCATAACATGATCCCCCTGCAAGACTTTGGTAAAGCCGGATAGACTCATCAAGCAAACAATGCAAAATCTGACCAGTCAGTTCGCTTGTGACCACAAATTGCTCAAACACAGATTGGTCTCATGTGCATGCGGCTTGTTGCAATAGCGTCTTCTGCATGCATATCAGTCCGTCTCCTTTCTCTATGATAACATGACTGATATATATATACCGGGCCCAGTCAAGTAGATATGCAGACGTAAGAGGCACGGCTTCCAGAGTCCTCAGAACGAAGTACGTAAACCGAGGATTCAGCAGCTCGGACGGCTAGAAAGGACGAATAATCCGTATACATCAGAAGCAGCAATCTTCGAGTGGCAATTGTTTTCTTTTCTAGTACGTGAAGGACTCGGAAGGCTCGCAAGAACAGAAGTCTTCCTGAAATGAGGCGACGACGCGAGCAAGAGAATGACAGGTTTGCAGTGCCAACTCTGTGTTCTCTGAGCTGCCTCATTGTAACGGTACGGAAGCCGACCGCCTTAGCCGCTCGGCTATGCATCCAAAAAGCTGTCGACTGGATGCACACTAAGGCGCTTCCGTAATTTATATATCGATTTCGCGTCGGCCGTCCGCGCGTCGCGGCCGGGTTATCGCGTCGATTTTCGTTCCGCTTCGGACCGTATACGGGTTCACGCGTTTCACCGCTAACCCGCCGTTACACTCATCCAGTGTGGTCGATTTCGAATCTATAGTAATGGAGATTGACCGAAATTATTTTGCCTGCGAGCTTGTAACATCACCAAATTCTTTTCAATCCTCTGGTTCGTCTGCTACGTGTATGGAGAGGAATGCTCTGGGACGGCTTCGGGGTTCCCAAAACGCCCCGTAAGACGTACAAAAATTCCTTGTGGGCTTGACTCGTGCTATTGGCTATCTGATCGCAATTGATTTGGGTGCGAGGAGGGCTTGAAGCAGCGGACGTGGGAGTAAACATTGGCCACGCGGTGACGGGTCAAGCTGTATCAGAGCCACGTCCTGAAGCCCCATCATAAATCAACACAGACAGCACACCATACACGGCCACTTCGCTAGAAATACCTTCTCTTCTCGCTATAGGCTGGTTACTACTGGGCACTCTTCGTATCTTCATGTGGGCAGTTTTTAAATCTGTTGCTAGCATTTACTTCCTGACTGCTGACTCATCGGAATTTCAAGGAGCAAGCCCAAGCTTCACTCAAGTTGAAAAAATCCATGCGCGCACAGCAAACGTAGTCAGGCGCTGACTATTCTTGGCGGTCTGGTGCCGCAGCCGCACCAGGCTCCTCATGGTTCACATATCTGAGCTGACCGTTGACTGCACCTTTTGTCCAGATTCTCCAAAGATGTGATTCCTCATGTACTCTAATCCTTCGAGCAACCAACACGTCCATGGTAATCTGACACCGCGCGGCTCCTTCTTCAATCCGTTCGACACAGCCAGCGCAGGCTCAACGTTCGCTTCTAGCTAGCAGGTAATATATGTAAAATGCGCTCATGAGTTGAGTTGGAAAAAAGATAATCGTTTGTTCTAGCCACGTCTGCAACCGGCCCGTTGTCTGCATGCTTTTTAACTGAAGATGCATGCGAAGACGAGCCTTCCGACTAACCGCTCGACCCGAACATCCTCACAGGTCTCTATTTTAGAAGGGGAATGATTTGATTGAGAGCTTGACGGTAAGTCATTGATATGCTGCGCTCACATCAGATGACCCGTTGATGAATTTTCCCCTCCACTGCGAGAAACCTTTTGTCCGAACTAGGTCCGAAGTCAATCCGAACTGAATTGCGGTTCAGACGGAGTTCGGACTGGTTCGGACCCGTTTCGGACATGCTTAAGATTGATGCTGCAAGACGGACATGCAGTTCGGATCGGATCTGGACCGGGTTCGGACCAGGTTTGGACTCACTTCGGACCAAAATTTCTGTCCGAATTAGACACTTTCAGACGTGGTTCGGATAGGTCCGAAATGTTACATTCTGTCTGGACACGATCCGAAAGGGATCCGAAGCGGGTCCAATTATGATCTGAATACAAGAGTCCAGTGCACTTGCTGCGGATGCAGTCCACCGTTCGGTCGGAGAGAAGCTACTCTGATACTGCGACGAAGTACCTTCATCTACCTTCATCTGACTACAGCTTTTTGCTAAAGCTAAGTCCTAGACGTTTTGTCAACATTTGATCCGTTGCTCATTTACGTGCCCGCCCCTTCCCTCTCCGACTCTTCTTGGCATTTTTCCCGCCAGCATCAGCCTCCGCTTTGGAGTCCCCTTCGTCCTTCAGACCGACTTGGCTCTCCACGAGGACCCGGCTTGCGTTCCTTGCCCGAGCCCAGCGCGCGTCGTGCTCGGAAGCAAGCTTCTCGTGGCTCTGCAAAAGACACGTGGCCACGTTGTTCCTTTGTAACCAGAGAACTTTGCACCCGGAGTACGCGCCCCTAGTTGGTCTTGCGGAAACCCCCGAACCAGAGCCCTTCAAGGGCCCCACAGACGAGTTGCAGAACGGCATACAATTCCTGCACGTGGGCCGGGAGATCCGGGTGGGGCAGATTGAAGACGGCGACCTGGCGGATTTAGGCGGACTGGCAGAGAGCATCGGCTTCACGGCTGACGTCACTCGCTGGTCGGTGCACGAGTTCCGGGCAGCGCAAGTAGGCGGGGAGGGTTTCCAAACGCAGGAGCACCAAGCCACGAAGGCTCGACACTCTTTCAACGTTCAAGCGCGGGTGCCGATCGGGAAGGGGGGGCAAGCCAAGGCCGCGTATGCGACCATTCTGCGGTTCCTAAGACTTTCAGATGACGTCACGGGAGAGCAGCTGCGGCTGGTTAAGCTGACCGTCTACGGGCAACCGAAGCAGGAGAGGGGTTTGGAGGTAATCGACGCAAGCCAGCCACTACTTGCCGGGAAGTTCTTCGACGCGAGTTGTCTCCTAACCAAGTTCATCTTCGCCAAGGAGAAAGGGAACGAGAGCAGGACGTTCGTTCTCCCTTGTCATTCCCGAGGACTTTGATTGGCTGCGAGTTGTGTAGTCGGTTGAGCCGAGTTGTTGTTGAACGGTCACGGTCGTTGTGCTAGCTGCCTGTTGTTGGAGCTCGGGAGCAGGAGAGGTTACTGCAGCAAGTACACAACCTCTCGTCTAGGAGTGCTCACGGTGCGTGAACGCGCCACGGCCCGTTTTCCAGGTTCGGTCGGCTTCTTACTGAGCGGAGTGTTTCTAGAAGCTACCTGACTGTCACGAACAAGTGTTGATTGTTCCGCTCAACCCAAACAGCAATATAAGGCGAATCATCTCCAGGAAAGTACAATGGAAAAGTGCAAAAGTCGGAATGCATCCTTCACTGAGTCATGGTCAATCTGTAGGATTCTTATTATACCACACGGAGACTCATGAGCGAGCTGTACATGCGAGCTCGAAACTTCTCTCATATGAGCGGGCATTCAATCAAGTAACTTAAGCAGCGTCATACTCACTGGTTTGACGCTGTCCATGCCATGTACGTTTTGTATCATGTGCCACATGACACACAGCCTGTGTGAAGGTCAATGATCGAATGATTCAATTTGTGAGGTGCCATGATATGCGTGGCTTAATTGAATATTCTTGATGAGTGCACGCAATCGACCTGAGTGCTAGTGACCACATGATATACATGGCATGCGAACTTAGCGGCGCAGCTAGCGGCGTGCATCATGGCATGACAAGCTGTTTTGATCCTATTGATAAGAAGTTGAAGGAAGAAGAATTGCACAGATTTACTTCGGATCCAGACCGGATCTGCTTCGGACCCAATTCGGACCAATTTCGGACATCCGACATGTCTGAACGGCGTCTAAAGCTTTCGGATCGGGATTGGACAGGTGAAATCACTTCGGACCCACTTCGGACCTGGTTCGGACGAAACGCTTTCTCGCAGTGCTCAGAGTTTCTGGTGCATCTTTTGTGAAGAAAGCTGGCCAGGAGGATGCGCATTGGGTGTACTGCCACGCCTCACACGCCCAATCGGACGCATGAGCCAATCAGCTTTGACCATCCCACGCCCTTCTTTCTGCTCCAGAGGTGCTAAGCTCGTTAGCCACAGTACAAAATCTACCCTTATTTGAAGGAATCAAATTCAGAACCAGATCGGATTGGGTTGCAACTCACTTTAACTTGGGCTGTTGTTTGGGCGCTTAGGAGGTTAAGGTCGTGGCTTTGTTGCACAACCCAGATGCCCCCCCGGCTTGCGACCTCTCCACACGAGAAAGGAGGCGAAAACCGAAGGCTGGCAAGGAGCGGAGCGCACTGGCCGTTTCAGCCAATGTGTTTGCTCGTGATGAAAAGCGAGCCAATTCTGTCTCCGCAGCATCGATGCATATTTGTCGGGTCGGTCCACAGATGAAGCCGAACCTGCTTTGTCATGTCTAACTTCCAAATACGTTTTCTCATCAGCTTCCGTTTCTGGTCCTTCGTGCTGTTTACTTGCCTGGCTTCCACTTTCCCCGGCTGTTTCCTCAACAGGTGCTTCCCCTTAATGCCGTGTTGATCGTCAGCTCAAGTTGGGCCTACCGTTCTCTTCCAGTGTATCAGACTCAGACGCCTTTTTCTTCTCATTCAGACGTAAGTGTCAGAGTTTGCGTCTTCGATTGGATTTGCCTGGGTTAGCCCGTCTCCCCTTGATTTAAAATACAAGCAGATTGTTTCTTCCGACTTTTCTTTGAGTTTCAGAGTTGACCTCAACATATTTGAGGTAAGGACTTGGTCGATCCGCGGACCCCGACGAGCCCTTGCTTTTCCGCTTATTGCGCTAGGGGCCTTGCGAAGCGAACAATCAGTCTTGCGATAAAGGCGCCCAGCGCTTGCGCTCCACAGCCGAAGCTCGCAATCGAATTTCTGAGGCGAAAGCGCAGTTTTGCTCCTTCGCGCCTGCACCGCCCAGTACCGGTACATAGATCAAAGCGCAGATCTTTGGTCAATATAAGATTACGCTTGAATCGGAATTCAAGGCCTCCACTCGATTAACCCACCGGAACCAGGACGCCGAGATTCAACTGGCAGAGATGAATAGGATACTGGGACTCCTGCTTCATGAAGAACACGATGATCCTAGCCACTTCGACCTTCCTCTGTGTTGAAGTCCCGGCTGCGACCAAGGTCCATCGCTCAAACTTTAGAGTCTTGCGCGTGCCCGTTAATATGACAATGCGCAGCATGGGCGGTCGACGGTCACGTTGTGCAGGCAAAGCGGCATCCTACTTCCGGTCGATTGGTACGAATGCCTAGAGCGCTTTTCAATCCTTACTGCTTACGTGCTGCTTACTCACCCTTTTTCCGTCAGAACAATTTCCGGCGCGTTGCGTCTACGGATGGCCCATGGAGGAAACAGTATGGACCGATTCTCAGCGTTGCATGAGGACTTTTCGCACGTGACAGGCTGGGAAGACAGAGCCGTGCTGGCACAAAAGCCCTTTGCCAGGAGTAGTGGGCATTGGACTTATCTAAGCCATGCGTTCCAAGAGTCACTGTATCAACACGAACCTGCGGGGTAGCCCAAAGTCACAGATGATTTAAAGAGAATCCTGCCTTGCTTCTGCATTGAAAATTTCTCGCAGCGCCCCTTCTTGTGCCCCTCGCTGAAGCACTATTTCCCTCCCGCCTGCTCTTGTTATGCGTCTTCAGCCTTCCTTGACACAACTATTTTTGACATGCTCTCAAAGACGTTATATTACGTACGAGCATCACGGCTGTCAAAAGACGAGTACGAGGCATATTTGCCGCAGCTCAAAAGGACTCGTGGATCAAATTCTTTGGATCTATCCAGTTACACCGTTCAAGCTTATAGCAGGCGTGGCTATTCCATGCAACTTCCCTTGACTTCGAGGCAAACTCGGGAGACTCGAGATGGCAATCGACGCCAAAGGCAAGCCATCTCAAAGGTCGATTGTCCGTCAAGCTGACATCACTAAACTTCTATTGAATACGTAAAGCACATGAACCCTAAATGACATGGAAGAAGCATGGTGTGGTGGCGCTCTGGACCTTTGCCAAACACCGACTCGTGTATCTTATAAGCCCACTTACCGTTTCGACGTCCGGCAGGGTTATGGGGAACGGTTTGCCTCACCTTAACATAGTTCTGGCTGCTTCTCTATCAAACGGGATCGGTCGATCATATGGAAAGGAAAGGATTTGTATGTGCTGCTGGCGTAATGGGCCCTCAGCCCACCAGTCGAACCGTTGTCCGCAGCTCTGAACCACGCTTGCACGATTGCGCTGATCCTGCGCCTCTTATCTGCTTTTATCCAGAGTCTCCGCTTCTTTATTTGAAGCGTCGTTTGAGATATCCAGTCTCTGGACAATATCAGTAAGTGGTCTCGCAGTCTGTCGGGTTTGAGATGCACCTACTACGCTGTTTCTGTGGGTTGAGATTTTGAAACCCGAGTGGGCTGGTCCGAAGCTGAAGCAAACATTCATAACGCGTTTTCCAGGCCAAGGCGTCCGCCATCCGACTGTCGGATCCTGCGAAGGCGCCCCAATTGATTCGCGGAGGTTTCTTATCTAGTGAATCCGACTCCCCTGCAAAGCTTCGAATCTGCCTTTACTTGCTAGCCGTCCGAAAAATCAAGCGCAGAGGTCTCCTGCTGTGAACGAACTCAGCAGAGCAGCTTTGTGGCGATGTAGACGATACATGCGCGATCCAAAAATGGAGCCCATCAAACCTTGTTAGAAGGTTGGGCGAAGCTAGAAATTCCTAACCAGTGGTCCGTCCGCATTGGTCAAATTTTGTTTTCCTTTCAGGACCATCTCTGGGACCAAGTAACCTGGCCAGGATATTTTCACGTCCGCCCATTCACCGGTCCCGGTGAATGGTCCGTCAGTTCTGTGAGAGCCACGCTAACCTGTTCCGTTAAAGAAAACCGGAGTTGCTGGTGTGCCCAGTGACCTATTTCAAATCGATTTGAAGTAGCCGTACCGCCGCGAATGCATGCTCAGAGCGGCCCAGCTTTCCTTCTTCGACTGGTGGCTTCCGTTCGTTTTGAGGTGGGCGCTTTTGCAATCAACACCTTTGCAAGGAAACAAGTGGATGAGGACGCAAAGATGATGGCGCATTGAACTTCGTTCATTTCAGAAATGGTGCCGTTATATAACGTGCCAATGGAATGCTTTCGATCAGAGGGGACTGAGAGCCACGAAGTAAGTACAAACTTCAGAATTCAGGAAAGTCACAGCCTGGTCGTGGGTTCATGTTATCAGATATGTATCTACACGCGGCGGTTAATTCAGCACTTCATTAGAGGCTGCTTCGCAAAGTTGATCCCAATTGCTTGAGTCTTGGTTCAGAGGAATGTCGGACGTGAAGCCACCGGGAAAGACGTGGGCGATGAAACGAAGGCGAAATATCGACGCACTCCCAGTGCGACAAGCACATCTTTGGCTTCTGAGCCGCCCGTCCGTTTGAATTTCAATCAGTTTTTTGATGCCGACGTGCTTCAGTAGCGCTTTACTGACTTCTAGAATCTGCAGAGCTATCGATCCTTCGAAGATAAATTCATCATGTTAATGTAGAGTCTCGAGTGGGTTCTTACGCTTCCAATCATTCTGCGGGCTTGGCTACCAATCCGAGCCGCCATGTTGTCCACTCGTAGATGCCCAGTCAAGCCCAAAGCTTCAGAGGCAGGTCCTAATAATGGACAGCGCTTCACTTCGCTGGTACTTTGTGAATTTGGGGCCCACTGAGACGCACTTTTGACGCACCGGACGCAGAAACGCAGAAGCGATCGCTGAACCAAAGGAATCATGATATGCGGATTCTGCAATGTCTAATACGCGTGAAAGCGGCAGGGAAGAAGACTTTGCGCTGGCACAATGACATCATAATATTGCCAAGAGCGCTCTCGTATTAAGGTTCTGAGCCGAGCGCAATAACAGCAGCATAACAAACAGTACCCTTGGAGGCTGCGCAAAACGTGGCGCTGTTTACGAGACCGCACTTGGACTCGATACAGACGACTTGTCTTCAAAGCTTCCGAGAT